AGATTTTTTATTACCGTGCGAAGAAGGAAACTTTCAGCTTGCTGACATGCCTTTCTTCTGCACGGGAACAGCAGCCTCTTTGAGGCAAGCGATAAAAAAACTCTCCACCCAGAAAACACAGGATTTCGAAAGTTTTCAACAGAGCTTTAAACCTTTTTGTTTATTGCTCAATTTGACATGCATGATGGTCACGAGCATGAGAGTTTTCCTTGCTTTTTAAGTCTGAGGCTTCATGCCGCGCCGGCCCATCAAGTCAGGGGTGCAGCAAGGAAAACTTTTTCCCACCCGCCCGACCCGGGGGTTTATCAGACTCATCAATGGCATCCGCAGAATCTTGACTGCAATCGGATGTCCAGCCAATCTCTCAAGCTCGTGGCTTAAACTCGTCTGACCCCTTTCCGACTACGAAGAAAAAGACTGAGCGATTGTCCGAGTGAAGTCATGTGATTTGAATTGTTTGTGAGATAAATTTATATGCAAAGCATATCATTGATTACATGAGAACTATATCCAAGGATTTGGGTTTGGGAGATTTTTTATTACCGTGCGAAGAACACTCAGTCTTTGTGGAGTGTTTCACGATGAAGACTGCAGTCTTTGTGGAGTCTTGTCGAGTCTTCAGTCATCTTTGTAGCATTGTTGCTTCATTATTGTTGCATTAGAGCCAATGTTGAGTCATTATTGAATCATTATTGAGTCATTATTGAATTGTTTCAATTGTGAAAAAGCCGTTTTGACAGAAAACGTGCGAAAAACAAACTCGAAGAGCAGCTCGATGTGAAACTTTTTAGCAAAGTCGGAATTCCGACCTTGGGCGAAGAGGCTGTTTCGGCTGCTTTGTAGTGACGTTGTAGTGACATTGTAGTGACTCCGTAGTGACATTGTAGTGACCATGCTGCAAAAGCGGCTGTAGTCACATTATTTTGCGTTTTGGAAAAGGTTACCATAAGTGGCCCCATACATACATATATATATATATATATATATGCAGAGAAGCTGCGCTGGTCGGCCGCGGAAGGCGTGGCTGCGATCCGACCGGGGCTGCTGCAGGGCCATCTTTGGCTGCTGCAGGGCCATCTTTGGTCCAGGTTCATTTGCGCGCCCGCTTCAAGCGTGGGCGCGTGATAACTAATGTTCCACCTGTGAACGCAGACTTCTGCATAAGATCTGCTTTTTTGTGGGCAGTGTGACCCAACCGCTTTCCCAATTAACACGATCTCTGATGTGTTGGCCGCTCTGGACGCGGCACTGCAACGCCGCGGAACTAACCTCCATGCCAGTTTCTGAGAATTAGTTGGGGTACTTGTGTAGCCTCCTCAAGCAAGCTGAAGCTATGCGAGCATCGTGAAACATCCATGAACAAACAAGAAAATTTACAACGGCCCAACACACACCACAGTTCAGAGCAGAGCAGAGCAAAGCGGAGCAGACCTTTGACTTTGCCGGAAACACGAGGTAGTGGTGTCGGTAATCCTGCTCGGACAACGCCCAGAGCTTCCTGTGGGTGGGCATAAGTTCTGGTGGGACGATATTGTGCGCTGCGCACCATCTGCTGTGTTTTGCGTGACGTTTTGCGTGGTATTTTTGCCTGTATTGGCGTTTTGTTTGGTCTTTTCGTTGCAGTTGCAGTTGTAGCTTGATATGATAGTCGCAGAAGCAATAGTACTACCAGTATGACAAACCCACGTCCAATTCTGTTTTATTAGTATATTGCAGTTGGTTATATGCAATTATATCACAGTGTATTGTATAACATGATGTTGTATGGTATTATATAGGCTTATATCATAGCATGCTAATTATGTTGTTGTATGTTATGTTATATGTTATAAATAAATGTACGATATTAGATCATCTCATACTATGTTATATTTTTTTATTGTATATACTTTATATATGTATACACATATACATACATACGTGCATGCATACATACATACGTACACATGTTCACACACGCGGATAATAGGGGTATGGATACATATTCTTTCGTACATGCGGTTGCGACCTACACGTTTGCATATATCTGGGCCGTGTTTCTGATCGTTGCCAGCGCTTCTGACCCGAGCCAGCTGGGCGCCTCTTGCGCCCCCCGCCCAGGCTGGCGGCTTCGGGAAGGAGGTTGATGGTTCAAAGGTTTTGAGACAACCTTTTTTAATCTCAGTTGCTCCATTGAGACAGCGTCTTGTGAGGTGGTTCGCAGCTATTTGCCTCGGTAGTCTTTTTCAGTTTGTACTTTTTACATGTACTTCGTAGGACTCCTCCGGAAAACTGTTCGAACGGTGAAGTCGTGGTTGCCGTGACCGCCAGCTGACTCGACAAGCCGGCTGGTCTCGCGAACGGTCATGCAAACTTGATGTATCGGAGTGGACCCTATTGTTCTCTTGGCGGCTTAACGCAAGCCAGCTTTGTTGCTCGCTCCTGCAAAGGAGGGCGGCCGAGCAGCCATGCAGCTGAGGCAATGCTGTTTGTCGAAGTCTGAAGATGCGGCAGCTAGTTGAGATCCTGGTTGGTTCAGGGCTGGGTTGGTCGCGTCAAAAGCAGCGTTTTTTGGCCTTGGGCTGGTTCTGAAGTTCTGGTTCGCACCCGGCCAGATATCTCAAAAATCTCAATGCGCCTGTGGATGGCATGTCCAAGGCTCGCGGCAAAGGTTTTTCTTCACTATCTTTGTCGTTACGACAAGGTATGAGAACTGCAGCGACTCAGAATGTGTGTCAAACAGAAGTTGGTGTCAGCCCTGGAGGTGACATCCATTTCCTGGAGCAGCAACACAACCAGGAGCCATTTCAATTCGTAGAGGGTGATGGCTTTTTGGTGGAACGACGCCCTCATGCGACCTGTGATAGGCTAGCCACAGTCGGAGCAGACAAAATTGCACCTTGCCTTCTATGTGCATGGAGTTCCTTTAACTTGCTGTAGTGTGCACACGTGTTAGAATCGAGGTTCAGCTCTTTGACGAGCATGGTGAAAAGCAGGATAGGTTCAGCACAAAGCCGGCTGACAAGGCTTCGTGAGAGAATTGCGTTGACGAGCCCGGCAGCTTCGGCGTCGTAGTGGCACCTATCGGCTGTGACAGGCTGCACGAATGTATGCGGTGCGGACCATCGAATTCTCCCCAGACGGCACTAAGCTGGCCGTGGCACAGAGTGACAACATCGTGCCCCGAACTGAGAATCCGCTGCTTTCTATATCGGCCATTCCGGGTGCTTGATAATCAAGCCAAGCAGTTTCTTCAATGATTTTGTAGGCACAAGCGGCTGAAAAATGCTTGCAGGGACACTAGGTTTAAACTCCTCACGCCAAGGGATGCCACCCCAGAGTTGTGATGCGGCTTCTTTAGCTTAGCCGTCGTTGCCAATTGCCTTGTTTCGGCTCGCACACGTCACGTGCACGACGGATCCTGCGATGCATGTACTACTCTCGCGGACGGCGACCGTTGCGCTGAGGTTCGTGTACAAGCTTGGAAGCGACTGGAAGGCCGGATCTGCCACCACTGACTCTTTCGTCCTTTGCGTGTCTGTTTGCGAAGAGACGCCGCAGCGCGCAGCATGATGAGAGGTTTTTCCGTTTCGTCGCAGGACAAGAAGTCCATCTGCAACAAATTCCAGCAGTCCTCGAGTGTCACGTGCCTCACCTGGCCTGCTGGACATCCAAACGAGGCAAGTTTCTCGAAATCCGCGAAAAGGGGAAGTGGGACATAGTGGGACGAATCGCAAGCGGCTCCGAGTCGGGAGATCTGGCGCAGGTTGTGTTCGGTCTTGCCGAAGGCAAGGTGAAAGTCGGCCAGCTGAAGTCCAACAAGGCCGAGAGAGCTTCGGTCGTTTTGTGGGATCTGGTCGCCAGCGCCACAGGCTGCTACTCTCTACTCGACCGATTCTTTCGTAGTCTCGATGTGTGCCGGTGGCTGTCTTACCTTGAAGAAAGCGGTTAGGTGAAAGATGCAGGGGCTCGCTCGATGCTGCTTTTGCCCAGCTGAGGTCCGGATGGAAACTCCATTCTCAGTGGTCACCTGGATGGTTCCATCTACCGTTTCCACTTCGAGACGGAGACGGTCGCCCGCCAAATCCCTTTGGCACGGCTCTGCAAGAATGAAGCGCGCCTGGCGCCTCCCGCACTTTCCATCCGAACCAATCCCAAGGTTCCTCGGCCGACTACTACGAAGTTTGCCATGGTGCCTCAGGCTTGGGGCTTGGCGCATCTTGAAAGAAAGCAAACTCTTCAAATCGCCGGCAGCCTCTGCGCCTAGCCTAGCTCTCCAGCTATCCCCCAGATGCTCCAGGTTTCAAGTTTCCCCAATCCACCTCACTGCTCGCCAGTGCGTGCCCTATGCCCTCTCCTGGGGCTACGCCGGCATCTGCGCCGCGGGTAACGACCGCATGGTGCGCTTCTGGGACTCGGAGGCCGGCTGCCGAAGCCCAAGCCGAAGCCCAAGCGGCCGAAGCGGCCGAAGCGGCCAGGGACGAGAAGGGCAGACTTTCGACTACAGTGGCGATCCGAAGATCAAGGACCCGTCGCCGGTTTTTCTCAAGGGCCTCGGACTGGGTCCCGTGCATTCCCGTGCCAAGGAGTTTACGGTCGCAGCCTTTAATCCATCCGGCGAGTCCGTGGTGCTTGGAAACTACAATCGTTTTCTAGCCGAGCTCTCAGACTTCGACTTTTCTCAGAAGCGCACATCTCCATTCTGTGACAGGTCTTTGCCTGGCACCCGAAGAGGAGCGAATGGGCGGAAGTTGTACAGCGAGAGGCAGGCAGCTTGTCGCAGGCGGCAGCTTCTCGATCTATTGCCTGCAGGTGCCGAACCTCTACTCAGTCACTGCTCTTTCATGGCGGGCAGACGGGTCTAGGCTCATCGTTGGCTCGCTTTGTGGTGGCGTGGACATGTTCGACGTGTGTATTCGGCGATCCCGTCCGAAACTCAAGCCAAGCCTGTGTTCCGCGAGAAAGAAAGTGGATGGAATGGCTTGCATGGAATTCACAGCATGCCATGCTCAGGTTATCGCGACTCGCACGAGTTCACCTACGTCTCCCTGAGTCAGGTCATCGTCAAGAGCCTGCGCTCCGGGGCTCGCATTGTGCTCAAGAGCAACGTCGGATTCGAGATCAAGAAGATCAACATTTTCCAGGCCTGGCGGCCAGAGCCCAGATCCGTGTTTGAACTCGGGTTGACTGGCCTATGACTCAGGAGCGCTTCCTGGTGGCTCACACACCGGAGAGCATCTTGCTCGGGGACCTGCAGACCTGTCCGGCCCTTGGGTTCTTGTGTTTGACGCCTTGCCGAGCCGGCCGCGCTTCCTCTCAGGCAGGCTTTCCGAGATTCCCTGGCACTCTAGCGGCTTGCAGCTCAGTTCTGCAGGGTGCTGAGGTTCTGCCTGACACTGCTTTTGCGAGGCAATGAGAAATTCGTTTTTGATAACCCGACCGTCTGCATGATTTTCAAGGCGGATGCTGAACGCGGCTTGACAACCATGGGATGGCTACTGTACGGGTCGGAGTGGTTCTGTGGAAGGCCGGCGAGCTATCTGTCGTTGAATACGGCTGCAACGAGCTGCTGGCCTGTGTCGGGACCCTTTGCGAGGAAATTCTATGGCAAAGTTTGAGAAGTGCATTGTTTCGCACCAAGGCCCGGACAGAGTTCATGTCTCCGCACCTCATCAGCCCGACCCTTAGCCGCGAGAGCTCAGCTGGCCCCTCTTCAAACAGTCTGTGAGGCATGGTGGTACGTGTATGTACGTATGTATGTCTGGATGGATGGATGGGTGGAGGTACGCATGTTTGCATGTATGTGTGTATGTATTCTGTGTACATTCTGATGCGTATCCTGAGACGTGTGTGTATATGTTCCGGTATATCGCATATATACATTGATACACACATAATATATATATATATACATATATATATATATGTATCTATATATACACATACATACATGCATGCATACATACATACATACATACATACATACATACATACATACACGCACACAAAGACATACACACACACACACTGTCGTATAAGAACATGCATGTATATATATATATATGTATATATATATATATACATATACATATATATGGACATCTTTCCAGACATGTACCCGTACTAGACCATGTGCACGATACCGAAGTGTAGTGTAGCGGTGTCGGAGGGACGCGTATTCTTTATTCACTTTGCTAAGCTCCATGTTTTGCAGTAGCTTCCTTGGGCAGACTCTTCCGTCGGTTGGAACTGCTGTAACATTGCGTTTACGCGGCTGTACTCCAAGTGCTTGAATATCAGAACGGAATCAGGCGTTCGGATCAACGCCCCGGAAGAGGGCGATGCATACGCTCCCGCTATGGGCGAGCTGAAGGCCGGGTGTTTTGGACTACTGTCATGGGGTCTAATTCGGTCAGAGACTCAAACTAGTTTGTTCAATCACAGGACAGCAGATTGAATGCAAACTTGAAGCCAACGCAAGACCAGCATATCATAGCCATGACTCGGTACCATCACTGTCTGTTCCAAGCTCGTCAGCAATGTCATTTGCATCAACATGGCCATTATCATCAGCGCTATCACCATCGTCTTCATCACATCACTAACCAACCGGGTCGTGCTCGCCATTGTCGGCGTATCATCGTCATCGCCACTGCAGTTGTCAGCGTGACTATCATATCTTAATCGTCGTCGCAAGTCATCATTATCATCATGATCTTCGCCCCGAGAGGTATGGAGGCAAGGCTTGACAATATCTTCCTCGCCGCCAGAATAACCCTAGATTCAAGGTTTCATTATTCAATACAACGTTTAGAAGGAACTGTTAGCAACGACAGCAGCAATAAAGGTGTGTTAGTCACATCGATACGTATCGGTCATAATTTCATAGAAATCAGCCCAGGAAGCTTATACTTCGACTAATGATCAGTGTATTGGGTTGAGGCGTCGTCGACACTGTGCATGACATCGTTAGGTTTGGCAACATAGTCTTACCAACTGTCAGAACACAACAAATACCAGATATACTGGTTGCTTGTAAAGCAGTTGATGACAATGGCCTTGGCAACGCAGTTGCTGTTTTTCAATTCAGAGGCCCAAAACCCCAAACTTCAATCCTCTAGTGTTCACACTGCAGCTATTCGTTGTCGGAGTAGTGCAAGAGAATCCCGATGATCGGCAGGTCTTTCGGCTTTCTTGCTGTGTCAGGGTTTAGCGGGTTAGGGTTTTCACGGTTTTGGAGGGTGGGGTTTTCTGCCGTTTCGGGGCTCAAGGTTTGAGGTTTGGAGGGAAGGGTCAAGGGCGCATGCCCTGGAATGTTTCTGCAGGCCGCCAGGAAGAAGAGTTTGGGGTTTGGGGGTTTAGGGGTTTAGGGTTTAGGGTTTAGGGCGTATTCGGGTTCTTAGGTTGTTGTCTTGGTGTTTTTTTTTTTTTTTTCCGCATTTTTGTTTGGGTTTCCTGCGGGTTTTCCATGCGTAGAATTAGTGCCCCTCAACTTTTGTGATCCTGCGCTGATATATAGCAAGAATGGAATCAATGTTGTCCACTGTTAGCATGGTTAGAAAAGTTAACCTTCCCTTTTTATTTTCTGTTGTGCTACGAGGGAGCCTGTTTATATAATTAGCCCCGCTGTGTTTGTGACTTACGGTCCATTACGGTGGTGACAGATGTGGTTGTTATGATTGTGCGGAAGAAATCTCTGGCATGATCTGTATTTTCTGTATTCATAGACCGACTGCAGTGACGACACGGTCGTATGAGATAGCACATACCATAATGTACTGTTGTTCTTGTTTCATCGATCGTTGTGGTTTTCATCATCAGAACCATCATATACATGGACCTCGGCATGACTGGAAGCAGTAGTTGCCAAAAGTTGCGGTACACTGCAAACTGCGTGCAGATTGCAACGGAGACTGTGAAGTACAAGACCACTATCAGTAGTTGACATGAAATCAGTAGTTGACATGAAGTGAAATCTGTACGCTGCCCCTTTTGGGACAGGTCATTGCGTACTTGCTGGACCTGATGACAATCCGTGTTTGTGATTTGGCCGTCCCGGCGTGTTCAAGCACTCATGGCAGCAGGCTTGCAAGGTACTGCTCGGTGCCTCCAGATCTGGTTACAAGGTTACATGAATCGCTCGACACATGTCCAAGCTGCCAGGTTTCGAACGCAACGTTGGCGAACATCCATCACGACACTAGGATTGACTGGCTAGCCTGCGCCTTATACCTCTCTTGGATGTAAGCTTGACTGCTCGGTCTGCTCAAGCGCGCGTACGGCAGAGGCAGTGGGCGACCCTAAGAAAACATGAGCACCAGGGTCCGATTCTGCGGTCGAGATCTTTTTGCAGGTTGCGGTGTAGCTCGCCGTCCAATCAGGCTCTAACCCTAAAACTACAAGCGTTTAGACGGCCTTTTATGCTCTTCCCTATGCAATTGCACATGTTCAGCGGTTTTTTTTACCCCTCACCCTTCGCTTCCCCTGGCAGTGCCATACCAGAAAAGACAGTCGAATCAGCCATCCACCAGAGCGACAGACACGATGTGACACTTGCTGTCTGAAAAGATGAAAAGAGCCCTTGAGTCCTCACCGACTCCCCGCGTTTTCAGGAACTGAACCCCAATGGGGCAAATCGTCAGCGGCCGAGCAGAGCAGAGCCTGGCAGCGGTTCTTAGGTGGGCCTTATATAATATAATATAATATAATATAATATAATATAATATAATATAATATAGTAATATAGTACAACATAATATAATGCAATATATAATATAATATAATGTAATATAATATAATATAATATTATATTGACCAAGGTCTCATCTTCCGGGACAAGCGCAGGCAGCTCTACCTCTTTGACATTGAGCAGCAGAGCCGGGTGCAGCCCTCGAGTTGTCATGTTGGTATGAGTCAACCCGGTTTATGAGAGCCTGAATGAGTCCTTTGTGTCAAGCGCTGTGAGGTGACTCTCCTGAACTACTGCAACTACGTGCAGTGGGTTCCCGACAGCGACGTCGTCGTGGCTCAAAACAGAGGCCGCGGGCTACGTCGAGAGCGGGTTCTTGCCCTGTTCTTGCCCTGACGACCCAAAGATGGGAGAGACACCCTGACCCTGAATCACTGGATGCTTGAAGGACAGCTCTGTGTCTGGTACTCCATCAATGCGCCCGACCGCGTAACACTGCACGAGATCAAGGGCGACATCGAAGACATCGAGCGATCCAATGGTCGAACCTGTGTGATCGTGGATGAGGGCGTCAACATGGTGCCTCAGACGCGAGTTTACGCGAGTTCACTCAAGTCACTCGAGAGTGATGGCAATGATGGCAAAGGTCTCTTTCGGTTTGGTGCAAAGCGTTCTTCGCAGGTGGAGTACGAGCTGGACGAGGGCTTGATCTCCTTCGGCTCCTGTTTGGAAAGGGGTCAGTACGCTAAGGCAGGCGCTGATCCCCTCTGCATCCTGAGCACGGCATGTCGTGTTTGTTTTAAGCTCAAGGCAGTGGACCTCTTGGAGGCCAGATCCCGTCTCGGACGCTGTGCTGAGGGTTCCCCGTCTTCACGTCCGCTGGTGCCAGGAGCTCCCGTTGACACCAGAGACCGAAGCCATGTGGCGCTCACTGGCTGATGCCTCTATGGACCGGAATAGTTATGAGCACGTGAATGTACAAGGAGGATAATGTGCTCCGATGTCTGCGGAGGAGCACTTCAACCTGCCGGTAGCCGAACGCTGCTATGCCGTCTTGGGCGATGTAGCAAAGAGCCGGTACCTGCACAAGGCGAGTCACCACGACACACACAGACAAATGGTTGACTCTGCCTCAATGTCACCTGTAAGGTCAACCGGCTGATTCAAGATCATGCAGCAGAGGTTGGTGGTGATGGCTCCAACTACTACATGGCCCAGGCACTGCTCTTGAAGCTCTTGGCTCATTTGGCTCGCTTGAGGTCGAGAAGTGATCTCCTCTGCTCGAAGGCAAAGATGGCCATGCTGGCGAAGCAGTTCCAGCGCGCTGAAGCTATTTTGCTGGATCACAACGAGCTCGATGAAGCACTGGCCATGTACCAGGCACATCATGAAAGGACACGACCTGGTGCTCAGCATTGATCTCTTAGCTGTGAGGAGCTGCACAAGTACAACGAATCCATCCAACTTGCAGAGCGCAAGAACCATCCCAAGGCGTGGGAGCTCTGCTTTCATCAGGCGATGTATGAAAGCTCGTCGTCTTGTCAGCTCATGCACCTGAAGAACTACTACCTGCAATGGTTGCTTTCCACACAGCAAGAGGACCAGAGATGCTCAACAATCGCAAGAGTGATAGGGGGGTCTGTGCTTTCTACACTGCATGACGTCTGCTTCTCTTGGGTTACTTCAGGAGAAGGCAGGCGAGCTGCAGGAGATTGACGGCGACTACGTCAGGCTCCGGCTCACCGCGCCTCACATAGGTCGCAGTCGCATTTGTGAAGTGTGAACACAGAGATTGAATGCGTCGCCGCCGATAGGATGAAGTCATGAGGACCTCCGCAGCCTGCATTTTGGCTGGAAGTATGGCTTTGTATTCACAGCAGCCAGCCATCCTGTGGCCGCTGCCGACTGCATCGCAGCATGGCGTGGCTTCTGCAGGCAATAGCTATGAGGGGCACCATCTGCACCCGAAAGCCTTTGATACATCTGGCACAGAGGCTTCAGCCATGCGTCGGATCGTGGGAAGGCACTTCCGATGGTGCGGAGCCTGTCGGAAGTGTTCCGCTTCTTTGGAGAGCAAGGCGTGTCTTAAGGCCGTGACCGGCCTGGGGCTGGGGCTGGGGCTGGCCTTGAGCAGGCGCTTGCTTGGGGCCCTTTTTGAAGAATCCGGACAATCGGTTCTGCCACACAGGCGGTCCCTGGCCTCGCCGCGGAGAGGGTTTTGCCGGGTGGCCTGCCGAGCAGAGGCGGAGGGTTTGACTCAAAATCTCGAAGTCGGCTGAGCATTGGAGCAGGCCGAGGACGAGGACCGGCCTCCCGAACCAGGCTCCGGCCTTAGACTTTCCCTTCCTTTTCTTCGTGACGACTTCGCCAGGTGGTGGTGGGAGCCGGAGCAGTAGTTCGAGAGATCCCACGCGTGGCGCTCAGCCCTGTGACCCGGTGGTGGCCGGCATGACTGCCCAATGCTGCGATTCAAGACTAGAAGGTCTACGCTGTCGGACCCAGCATCCTCGCAGCATGGAGCTCAGGGTCCGTTGGATGGAGAGTCTCTGTTTCCTGCATTTCCATGGCTGTCTCAGAGTCTCAATGCGTCTCAGGCTAGACACGCTGGCACCTGGATCCAACGAGCTGGTGAACGTGGATGTCCCCAACCACTGGCTCAGCATCAGCAGGCAAGGCGTTGCATCGTATCAGCACTCAGATGAATCACCCCCGATGCCACAGCCCGGAAGGACAAGGCCAACGAAAAGTGTGAGTGGAGGCCCGGCCTCAACCGTAGACGAGTTGGTTTCAGTTCAATGTCGCCAGGTCCGGGCCATGCCTGGGGCCGCTCCAAACGCTCCAAGCAAAAGGCGGGGGCGGTGTTTCCGGGTTTTGCACTCCTGTGGTTTGCTGGTGGTGAGCTGTCCAACAAGTCTCCTTCAAGGGATCAGAGAGCACCGTGAGGTGGAGTGGCGCTTGAAGCAGGGCCCTCCGCTGGCGCACAAGAACTGGGACTTTCCTTCCCGGCTGCGTGTCAGCACCGGGACGGCAGGGACCCCATCGTGTCGGCAGCTCCCCTTTCACCGCCGTGAGCCGGCGCGTTTGTGGACATTTTTAAGGCGAAGCGCCGGCGGCTGGAGCAGCCAGCTGGTGCCACGAACCCAGCTCTGAAAGCCCGAAACGGAGTACCTTGGAAGAGGACCCCTCCTTGACGGCTTTTCGCGTGGTACGAGAGATGTCCAACTGAGGTCATTGTGAGACCGACCATGGAGCGAGTGCGCGAGGCTCTCTTCAACCAGGTCTGGGCCATGTTTGGGCGGACACAGCAGGGCAACCTCGGCGCCGTGACACACACAGTGCGTCGGATCCAAGGTCACCGCCATGCATCTCTTTGAAGATCGTTCTGTGCGCCACCTCGACCTCTTCACAGGCCATGCAACACAAAGGGCATTTCGTGTCAGAGCTTTCACGTTTCACTCTCAAAGGCATAGTCATGGCATGCTCAGGCACGGGCTCGGTGGGGATCGAGGCGCTAAGTCGAGGAGCAGCCGAATGCGTTTTTGTTCCACCCTTGGCTCCCCTGTGCCCTGGGAGTGGGTCCCGTGGGTCCCGTCGCGGAGCGATCGAGGTCGACTCGTCGAAAGACTGTGCTCTGCCTACCGGTTTCCCCACTTCTAGTGGAATAAATCCCAGCAGTCTTCGTCTTCTCCAAGGCGTGGACTGCGCCATTGCCAATGCGTGGCTCTGTGGTTACATGGAGCACGAGGAAGCTTCCAAGGGGTCGATGAACGAGCGTGTCGAGGCGGGAAGCCCACGGCCCATGAAAGCTGAGCAGTTACTTCAACGCATAGCTGAGAGAGACGGAGAGGGTTTACCTACTGTGTACTCGCAAGCATTCTAGTGCATTCTGTTGTGTTATCTGACCTTGTGGTATATTCGAGGCAGCGGCCCGCAAAAGTGTTTGTAGGTGACCAATGCGCTTGTGTGGGTATGTATGAACAGACAAATATGAAAACACAAATCTGAAGATTAATATTAATAAATAACTACAGTAAGCAAATATAGAACATAGATATACATACATGTACATAGGCACACATACACGTATATGTGTATATACACATACATATATATATATATATACATACACGCACATATATCATCTCTCACATGCTGAGTTCCAGCAGGCTGAGATTGGCCCGCTCAGCATGGTTGGAGGCCCGCAGTACGTGTGATTGTGCGGCAGCTCAGGTTGTAGTAACCCTTACAGTATCCCTTACAGGGTTTAGGCTTTAGAGCCCACCCGTCCTGCTCGAAAGTGGTCTCTGTCTCAAGCGCTCTGAACCCGAATCCTAAGCCTGCTCAGAAGATGACAGACAAGGCTTCCCAAAGCACTGGGCCACAACACCGAAGCCCAGATCAACAGTCCAGAGCATGTTGGCAGCATGCTCTCAGCACGAGCGGAAAGAACAAGTCGCCCATGAAAGCCCTCTTGAAGCCATCAGCTCCCCGCAGTTCCAAGCCGTGCCAGGTCCACGCGCCCAGGTCCAAATCGAGCTCCACCGCGCTCAGGTGGCACGACAGCCGGTAGGCGCCATCCAGGCGATGGGTTTGGTGGCCTGTCGTGATGTATAATATATATTATATTATATTATATTATATTATATTATATTATATTACATTATATTATACTATATTATATTATATTATATTATATTATATTATATTATATTATATTATATTATATTATATTATATTATAATGTAT